TTTAATCCCACGCTTGGCGTGGGTCAAAATCTAGTATGATATGATAGACGAAAGTTACGAAACATTAAGAAATAATAATAAATGAGTATATGTTATATTTATTGTTTTAATTTTTCAAATTAATTTTTGGGATCAAGATGGGTGGGATAGTAATTACTTCGTATGTATCATGGAATAAAAAAATTATGCTTGTGAATAAGTTATGATTCGTCCAATTCCATTTATAAGATTTTAATATACAAATTGTAAACATAGAGCATATGTTAAGTGTGTTTTTGTCTTAAAAAAATGCAAATGAAAATAAAAACTACAAATTACGTTGTGCCTGTAATTTTACAAATGTTTTGATAATATTAACAACAACAATATCATCATAAAATCCTTTTAACCAAGCCACAATCAGCTTAATTTATTAATCTACAAATGGTGAGAAAGAGTAGGTGTTTTACGTGAGCACAAATGTATGATTTTTATGTATCAACAACCACTGCACATAACCTTTTTCTTCACGCAAGAACCATTCATTAAGATTTGTAAACATAGAATCAGAAAAAGACGTAATAGTATAGACAGTTTCCTTTTGAATACGCAAAAGGATATATAGATATTCAACCTTATTGACATGTCTCTCTCTCTCATAAGAAACTTAAGTTAACTCACATAATTATGTTGGAATTGTGATGAAAACGAAAAAGAAACGTAAAAGCTTTAGACTATCAAAAGAAAAAGTTTGAGACTGGAATTAAAAAAAACTGTTTCCTTTAATCTTTGCGCTGAGGCTACATTATTTATAGAATTTAATCTTAACATATTGTATAACAAGTAAAAACCAAAACAATTTCCTTTAATTAAAAGTAAATCACACTTTTCTATTTCTTTGACTCTCACGTGCACTGCACATGAGTAATTAACTCATCATCTTCTTCTTTGTGCAGGTGAAACTCGTGACTTCATTTCCATGGATTAATTTCTCCTTTTGTTTTCTTTGTTAGAAATTAAAGACTTTGGTGAGACTCCAACTGTCCAACAAATTAGTCTTTTCCTGTAAAGGCCAATGGAAGAAGAACGAGAACGTTATGGACCTCCTCTATACAGTCTCACAAAAATGGTGCGAGAACGTTATTTTTTACTTAATGTTATAATTGATTTTGTAGCTTCGACTTGAATTTGATGAAACTTTTTGGTTTCAGTTTTCGGTCATCAAAATACCTATTTACCAAGATGACCTAAAGTTGTGGTTGTACCTATGCTGAAATCTGTCAGACTCGCTTTGGGGATACTTGCTTTTCA